AAAGCATTTTTATGATTTAAGAAGTGCAATGAAGGTTTTTAGCCTAAAGAGCCAAGGTGTAAAGATTGGGTCGGTCTTGATCACAATGAAGACCGACTCAACGACACTAAGACTAAGGTCTTCGTTCTTGGTCTTCTTTTAGCTCTTGTTCTTGTCTTCCTTCTTCGCCTTGTATATTCAAAGTTTGACTTGATCACGGTGGTTTGGCATTATCAAAACCTGTCATAAAAACAAACACGGCTTTAGTACGAAAACGTGACATGCCCGTGTTTCAACAATTTCCCCCTTTTTGATAATGGCAAACGAGATGAGGTTATGCATATGAGGAAGTCTTTGAGATTTTTTAAAAAAGTGTTCCCCCTTAATAGATGCCATTTTATTTAAAATAATTCCCCCTCAATTTATGCATAACCTTGATATCTTCCCCCTTTTGACATTAACAAAAAGAATTAAAAGTGAACTTTGGAGTATAAAACTAAACTTTTATTCATGAAAAAAGGAGAAAATGCGGATAACAACGGAATGGAAATAATAATAAAAAAACAATCATAGGAAGGAAGGAAAAGAAAGAAGAGTTTAGGCAGCGGCGTCCTCGTCCTCGGCGTCATCGTCTTCTTCGTCGTCCTCAACGTCCATGGGATCCCCGTCGACCGCGTCCTCAAAGTCGGCCTCGTCGGGGGAGGAGGATGGAGCATAGGAGTTATCCTCCTCGTCCTCGCCTTCATAGTTTTGGCCGAGGAAGGTGCTGTCAAAGGGCGGCGGGACGTAGTTGATGCCGCAGAAGAACGCCGTCATGTCATGGTGTTGGCGTTGCAGCGTCCAGTCCATCCGCTCGATTGACTGCCCCATGCCATCCACTGTGAGGGTTAGCCGATTCAGATTATCGGCTATGGACTGTAAGGACGCCTTGGCGGGAGCGGAGGCAGGGGCAGGGGCACGGGCACGACTCGGTCCAGCGCCGGTTCCGTCACCGGACTTCTTCCGGAAGGTGCTGTCTTGGATGATCCAAATCTTTGTCATCTTCGTATCCGGGCCGGCGATGGAGATGTCGGCGGAGATGATGAGGTCCATGACGAGGAA